GCCCATTATATAATTATTTTCTATTAAAATCTACTTGTTCACGTGTCTATAAAACAGCCATTGGTTGTTGAAAATTTCCTATATTTCAGTTAATATATTTTTGGGATAATTACAAGTTTTACAGCTGCTTTAATGAAGCGTTTAATTTTACTTTAGTTTTTTGATTCTTGACCATTCATTTTTAATGCAGTGTCTCGAATAGCCCTTGTTTTCCAGCTTCCCACAAAGAAATAATGCGATGAAAAGTGGTCACATCAACAGTTATCAATTCATTAAAGATTGAAAGAAAGTCAAGCTTAATGTCATATGACTTCTATGTTGTATGTCATCGAGCTAATGACATTATTTATTGAACGCCCCTCGTATGTACAATTTTAAAACGTGGAAAATTATTGACAAAAAGTTGAACAAGAATATAAGCAGTCTCGTTTAAAACCATCATTTCGTAAGTTCTATGGTCGACACAATGACCTTGTCAGCAAATACAATAATTATTTATCATTTAGTCAAATGCTGACTGACCTTTTGCATACTAATTGTTAGTCCATTATTCTACACTGAATTGAAGGATTTTTTCCATTATTTCCCGATCATGACAAGGAGCACACGGTGGAAGTGACCGGTCGGCAGGGGATGCTCACTCCTCCATGGCACCTGATCCCACCTCTGATGTTTTGAAGGTGTTTCGAAGGTCCGTGTTTGTTCTTCTCCAATTTTGCATGTTTAATGGACCTTTCAGCTTGAATATGTTCGTTATCTCTGTATATTTCATTGTAGTTTTTTAGATTCACTGTTCACTAATTAATTTCATCTTTTTTATATGTCTAAATATCGAATTGAATGCCTTAGCAAAAAATTTTTCTTTTCATATAAACTTTTAAAAAAAATAAATTCTGTCCCATATAAAAACAGGTCTATTGATAACGAAGCATAAAAGGAATTCCAACAGATCAACTGAAGATTTATCTCCAAAAACTACATAGATATCATCAGTCAGAAACTCTAATAATCTTTTTAACATCCCTTTGCAGGACTTTGTGAATAATCAGAACTTTGAATATTTGCAGTTGACTATTGACAACATATATGGATTTACAAGTTTAAGTGTTTCTTTAAGAAGCAGTTTTTTGTATTGCCAAATGTAATTGAGATAGTAGTAGTTTAAGGTGTTAAAATGCCACATGTCTTTATTACATCAATCTTGGTAAATACTGTAATTTCAACATATATTGTTGTTGTAATTTAAAGTATCCACATCTTTTTAACAACTTTCTCTTAAAATGCCGTTGAATTTTTTGTGACGAGTAATATTTCAGATATAAAAACCAAAGTTTTATTTAATAAAGTTCTGGGTTTTTTTCTACATTAGTTTAAAATCTTTGATATTTAACAGAAGTCAATCAAATAACATCTTACACTACCGAAATTAATACTGATTAGTTGTGACATAAGTCTAAAAGACGGAAATTGAAGAAAGAAACAGGTGAAAATTTTACAGATGATTTTTTTTATAAATGGCAGATTTATCAGTGGACCTAGTCCTTAAACGGTTCATTTTTCGCATCAAAAAATTTGCTCTAGAATATTAAAGAAAGAGAAAACCACTTTAAGTTAATTTTTATTTAAAGTATAATTTTCAAATTTTTAGGTCCAATAATAGAATTTTTAAATTAACTTAGTGGCTTCTTCAAAGGGTTGAAAACAATATACGGAGATGCGTCGCTCAACTTTACGAGTAAATAGCTCTAAATCTATCTAGTGATCCAGATGGTCATATCAACAAGCCAGTAATGCAAATGTAAAATTACCAATATCTTGGCCTCTGAACAAAAAAGCCTCATGACTGAAAGTATTTTAAATAGGCAAAGATGTGTATACATGGGTTACTAATATACCAAGATCTATGTTTTTCTTTTGCATTACATGTTATTTCAGAAAATAAAATCATTTTAATAACTTAGATTGCCTACCGAGACAATTGACAAAAAGGTGCAAGACGGTTTTATTGACGCTGACTCCTTCGAGAGTAGAAGTTCATGAGGGAAGAATTATGTTAAGGTTTTCTGTAAATACAGTTTAATCTATTTGCATTGTTAAAACTTAAAAACCTTTGTGAGAAGAATATGATAACCTAATTCCTAGAGAAAACTGTAACAAAATTAATCATAAAGGCCTCCATGTGAAATGTTTACTCTAGTGATCTCCAACGTGGTCAAAACAAACATTTTGTTGTTTAGTAATCAAAACAATGAAACAGTTATATCCATGTTAAACATCAATCGAAGCAGTGAAGGACTTCTGATTGGTGTTATTCTTTGTTTTCTGCAGTTAACCACATATTTAACATCAAACAGTAAATAAAGGCAGACAATTTTATATCAGAAGGAAAAGGAAAAATAAAAGGGGTACCTTTTTGTACTTAAATTGTGACTTATAAAGCTTATTAATCTGATTTCGTTCATTTTGATGAACAAGTATCAATCCTTGGCACAATTTTTAAAATAAATTAAGACCTTAGACCTTTTGGAGAGATAAATAAACATACTCCTTGAAAGTTAGGTGCTAATGCGTATTTAGGTTGTCTTCATTTGCAGATTTTTTTAGGCTTCAATTTAATCTTAACGTTTAAATGCTGACTTTTTGGCTCAGGTTGGACCGTCTTTCCCATATTACGTTCATAGGGGGGGGGGGGGGGGGGGGTTAGACGTTTGTAAATTTAACCTATGTTCAAACTTTATTTAAGAATCAAAGCTTCAGTTTTTATTTTCTTTCTTTTCCTGATTTTTTCTCTTTAATCGGAAATTATATATGGTATATACTGACCTTTCATTACATTTTCGTTAAAATTTATAAATCGACAAGTTTAAAATATCGTGAGAAAGGGATGAAACTAGAAATACATTATGGGTTTAGAATTTTGTAGGGTTATTTAGGAGAGGGCATTGTAAGTTAATGAAGAAAGGAAATAACAATTTGTCTTGATCATTAGTAGATATTTATAACATTGAAACAGAAAGTTTTCACGAAGGTTACTAAAATGTCGTATACATTTAGATAAATGGTCTTGCATCACTGGCATGAAGACAATATGAACATTTTATGTTTAATGCCATTATATCAAATCACCGGTAATTCCAAGAAATTTCTTTTGGCATATATTGAATTTTATATTCGGTGAAAAAATGGTCCGTAATTTTAGTCACAAAATTAGGGACTAAATCCTCATGAATAGTTTACTCTAGCAAACAAAGACTGGACACATGTATCAAGTTTTTGACACGACAATATCTTACTTAATTTTATTTGCCTTAAGATTTGATTCACCGGTCAGTGATCATACTGTTTTTAATACTGGCGAATTGATAAAATAGGGGAAGACTATTTAACACGTACTGTATGTTAAATGGTGGCCTAATTCTTCTTCAAAATTTATGTTCAAATATTGATACTTACTTGTATTTAATCCTCTCTAGAATTCCATAATCTAAATGGAAATTCTCTCTGTCCTCCAAACTTTTTTTTTCTTTTAGAAAAACTATATATAGCGTTAGATCTTATAATAGCAAAAAATGTTCTAATGAAAATTAAATCTTTATGTTGAAACAAAAAACAATGACCTAGATGATAGACTATTAACAAGATCACCATTTTTCATGTTAAAAATGTTTTAACGTTAGAAATCATACACTTACTATTAACTGTAACATAGGGAAGCAACAATTACATGTTAGGTGAATTTGATTTCGATGATTGGAATTTTATATATGTACACTTTTTAAAACGCAAAAAGTTAAGTCATCAAGCTTTTTCATTTATAAAACATACAGACGAGAACAGGTCAAAAACACGGACGTCTAGAAACATTTTCTTGTTTGCAGAAAGGCCTTGCCAAGTTGACTAGCTTGTTTTTTTGACAAGACGGGCACAAACCGTATCACAGTGAAGAATTAAGAGGGGGTATCAGTTAAATATAAAATTACGGATATAAAACTTTGCGAAAAAAAGAAAAGGTCTCTCATTTAAGTAAATGACAAAAATTAAAATAAGAAAAACATACGCATCATTCTATAAAAGATAAAATTGTTGGCATCTTATCCCTAAATACCTTAATATACAATACCTTAATATATAATATCATTATTGATTCTTTAAAAAGGTACCGATCAAAAAGACTATCGTCGGATACCCACAAGTAATCTCATCTGAAACTCACGCCCGTTAATGAGTTGAAGATCACCGAGGGTGACCGACAATGTACAATAAACATCTAGCTTAACTTTCTGTCTAATTAAATGTGCGTGTAATTTCCATTACCCCTTTTGCCAATTTGCGCCCATATTTCACTTTAAGGATAAAAATTTATCTTAAGACAGTAGGCCCCAAGACCTTAAATTGAGGACAGACTTTAGTCAAAATTTCAAATATATATAACTTTTGAAATAATTCTGCAAATGAGACAAAATTTTCACTATATCTTTGAATTTATTGTTATACTATTAATCTATTTGGAGCACATACCTTTATGTTAAAAATAACTCAAGGTATTCAAAATCAAAATTTGGACATACTCAGTAAGTCTCTTCTCAGTTTATGGTCTTGGGGCCAGATTACTCTCTCTAGATCTGCTTCCGCCTCTGTGTAATGGTCATTAATTCTAACTCACCGACCTAGAGAATTGTCTCTCCCCGGGCCCTTTCTTTTTCTCCAGATTTGATATCTTCAATGTTCAGATGAGAAAGGATGATACTATAAAAGTAAAATATGCTGAAAAAAGTGAATGGAGAAAATACAAATCTGAAACTGCATAGGGTTGACATTTGTTTTTAAAAATTCAGTTCATTGCCACTTAGATTCATAAAAACTGGCATTTAACCATTGTACAGAATGAATTTATGATGAAATTAATCAAATACGGTATACTTTCTTGTTACCTATGAGTATCTCGTATTGTAGGCTCGTTTGGTCAGAAACATATATCATTTTGCCCTCTGTTTTTACAGACACAGTAACTCTGATACAGGAAGTGGGTAAGGCTGCTGCGGCCCTCATTGGTTTGGCTCTGCTGAGTGGAATCGTTATTCTGGTTCTCTTCTTTATCAACAAGCTCGCCAAACCTGTCTGTTTCGTTTCCCTGACGCCAGCTGTTTTTGCTCTCGTATCCAGTAAGTTCTTGTCTGAAGCTGAGATCTGCGAATATGAAGTTGTGAGAAATATAATAATTTGTATTTATATTCGATGGAATGTTTAGTTAATGAAGAATTAAATTGTAAATGATCATTAGAAAATTAATATTGTAGGCTCGTAATTTTAATTTTATTATCTAAATTTAAAAAACGGTTGGATATTCACATGAATTTTTGAGTGTCTTTAAGTCTCTAAACTCTATAAACATATACACTTCTTTATTATTTAGAACAAAAAACTCAAAATCTCAAAAAACAAATTCAGAGACCCATGGGCATTCATAGGTCACCTTAGTATCATGAATTAAGTTTTCCACATTATCCTGAAGATAAAAGCTAGCTGTGTGTCAAATAAATAAGCCTTCCTAAAGATTATTTTTGATAGTTCATTTTGTCGAAAAAAAAAAAAAAGCTTTAAATTGAGCAATTATTCCTTAACGAAGGTATATAAACGAAAGGATTGTAATATTTTTCTTGAAAATAACCTTGACCTTTTTTTTAGAAATGGCACATGACAAACAAAGACACACGGAAGGGATAGTAATTTATCACCTTTGTGGCTAAAAAATATATCATTATGTCATTTGGTTTAAAGGGTGTAAATGGAAGGAGCTATTTTGTTGTCTAATAGCCAACATCGGAACTATTATTTCGTCTTTAATTCCGTCGCGGTTTTAATATTTAGTGTGTCTAACGAGATCTCGTGTTTGGCGTGAACTTGGGCAACATTTTGTAAACAAGGACGCGCTGCTGAACTTGTCATGTCTTATGATGTCAAATAACCGCGTCTTACCAGCAAATAACCATGGTAAATTACCATTGTATTGCCGTGGGATGTAACAATGACTCCAAGAAATCTAACAGACTCAGTAAATACCCGCATATGGTAGATAAAAATGGAAATGTTGTCAATTTTTATGTATTGCCTTCCGCAACTAAAAATCCAAAACTTCGGCGCCAGTGGATAAATGCGGTACGTCGTAAAAACTTCAAACCTAGTAACACAGATCATTGGCACGCAGTATGCTCCAGACATTTTGTAGATGGAAGACCCACTGACACTAACCCAATACCAACTTTATTTGAATATAATAACTACATGCATGACCAGGCCCAGGGTCAAGGAAAGAGGAAAACATTGACTTCAAAATACAACAGTACTTCATCTTCCCAGGGGTTTGTATTTTAGCTTCCCGATCAATGATAATTTTACATAAAAATGTGATACCCATATTTCTATTATCAGATTATAAGGCCAAACGAAAATATATTCTTGTTTCCTGTTCCCTGACCAAAAAAGAAATAGGGTAGGTAGGTAGGGAAAAAATTATTTTCAAAGCTCAATGGATGGAGAATATGTATCATGTAATAACAAGAAAACAGTATGTTTACACTTTACAGAGCAGGTTTACAGTCTTCACAACAATTCTTATTCAGCACATGCCCTTCGGGCATGTATACCGATAATTTTAACCCAGCCCATTGAAATTTGTACATGCCCTACTCAAAATTCATTCATATAATATATATATAGCAGATATGATTGAGCATCAAAAACATAAGGTTTTTTTTATTAGCTATAACTAAGGACAGTGTTTCTGTTTTTAAATTCTCTCGATCTTAAGATTAAATTGTTTTCAGAGTTTTGAATCAACCATGACATACCTGTCTGCCATTTTTCTTTTGCGATTTTGTTCACATGCTGGTGGTTTGTTGGCCGGTTTAGCTGAACAGAATTTATATATAGCAAGTTTACACGAATAACTGGGTTATGGCAGAAGAAATGACAAATAAACATTGCGAGTCGAAAGAAAAATCAACACATGCCCTTCGGGCATGTAATTTGAGAATTTTAAAATGCCCGCTGGCAAATTTACCAGGTCCCGGGCATGGGGCACCCAGGTTATTTCGAAGACTGGGTTTATTAATAAAGATTTATAAAATAAAGGTATCCTGTGCACTTTATATTGTTGGTTGACTTTAGTATTTCAGGAAAATAGCCCCCCCCCCCCCCCCCAAATGAATATAAAAAAAAAATTACGGTTGCAGGGTAAAATGTTAGGGTAGCTTGGGTGACAGGAAACAAGAGTACATATTAATTTTTTGCGTAAAGCATATATTCAATATAATTTGCATGAATAAACAATATCTAAATTTCATTCAGAAACACACACACACAAATATCTTTTTATATCGTATGAATTATGTTGTAATAAAAACTGTTAATCAAACATTTTACATGCAGAAATGAAAGTCACTCTGAAGGAAAAAAACAAAGGATTTCACAGACTAGTGTATTTGTCCAGCCAGTACCAGTGGCAGAGTTATATCAAGGCATACAGCATGAAATCATTATTCCTGACAAGGAAGGAGGAAAAGGTTGGAAGACACAGTTTTCTTAAAAATAACTTAAAACATAACACTTCTTTGATTTTGTTTAAAAAGTTTGTCATTTATCTATGTTTTTTTTCTATTATCAGAAATGTTTGGATTAAAGAAACTTGCATACCGTAATCAATAATATCAAATATACCCAAAAAGATCATAACCAGTATATTTTCATATGCATAAAAATATGCTTTTGTATTTGTATTTTTCTTTCACAGTTCCAATTACAACTGATACACCATATTCCCTACCTGGTATCATGCAACATGACCACCCATATGTAGCGAGTCCTGTGTCAGGTTCATCTCATCCTAGTGACACAGACTGGGCAGATGCTGATACCCAAATAACAAATTTGGAACATGAAAATAGGCATCTGAAGGTATTTTTACAGCAGAGCAATTGTTTTTTTTTTTATTATTTCATGTTATGTCACATAAATACATGTACAGGGTGTTTGAGCAAATATGTATTCTCTATTGTTTTTAATGTTTGTTTAAAAAAAAATTTAATGTGTGCTTAACTTTGTAGGTTCATTGTGAACAACTCGAGGAGAGGATAGTGGCTTTTAAAGAGGAAAACACACAACTGAAAAATCAGTTAAATGAAAGTGAAAGACAAAGAAAGGAAGTTGAATCCAAACTTCAAAACAAGGACAAACTTTTCCGAGAGATTTTAATAGATAAACTAACGAAGTGTGACAACCATGTAAGACTTTTTCTTGGGCTGCCTTCTCTTCTGTTTTTAAAGGGATTGTTCGACATATTGAATGGTGCAGCTTCCAGTATGAAGTATTGGACTCGTAGATCATCAAGTCATGAAAAAAAGTGGCACTCAGGAAATTTAAGGAGACCTGGGAAGCAAAGAAAACTGCAGTTATTTGAAGAATTCATTTTGGCACTACTTCGTCTGCGTTTAGGCCTGAACACCATGTTCTGTTCAGTTTTGTTTGCGTGTCTCAGTCCACAGTTTCTTCCATATTCACCACATGGATGTGTTTCCTAGATCAGCAATTAAAACCATTACTTAAGTGGCCATCGATGCAAAAAATAAAAAAGCATATGCCTCTTTCCTTCCGTTTAAAATACCCAAACACAAGAGTCATAATTGATGCAACAGAGATCTTTGTTCAACGTCCGAGGAATCCTTCAGCTCAGAGCAGAACTTGGTCAAATTACAAAAACAAGAACACTTTCAAAGCACTGGTTGGGATTTCACCAAATGGGGCCTTTACATTCATATCTGAATTATGGTCTGGAAACATTTCAGATCGCAGCATTACTCTGAGAAGTGGATTTCTAGATCTTATTCAGCGAGGTGATCATGTTATGGCAGATCGCGGATTCCTAATTAATGACCTCCTTCTTCAAAGGGGAGCCCAGCTGAATATGCCACCATTTTGTCGGCCATGTCAGTATGGAAAAGGCAAATACTTGACATCTAAACAAATTAAGGAGTCAAAAAACATTGCCTCATTGCGCATTCATGTGGAGCGTGCAATTCAGAGACTGAAAAGTTACAAATTCTTTGATGGTATTATGTACATAAAATCATTGTCTGTTGCAAATCAAGCCTTACAAGTAGCGGGTATTTTTTGTAATTTTATGGCTCCCCTTGTCAGCAAAGTTCAGAAAAAATAAGATTTTCTAACTAAGTAAATAAAATACCATGATTATTGTTTGCAAGTGCTATAACATTACAAGTGCAACAACTTAAATTTTGTTGCAAAAGTTCATTCTTTCACATTATTTATTTGATATTTATATAGTTTACTGTTTTGAATGAAGGAAGTTTTATGTTAGTGTTATCTGTTATGTACAGTTATATTGACATATCTATTATCACAGGTTTACTGATTAAAAGTTTATATGAAGGACAAATCTTTTTTATCAATGTTCCGTAATGCTGCACTAAGTCTGCAATATTCAAAGCATGTAGGAAAAAATGACTGATTTGGATATGTTTTGAACAATTTCTTTAATTTTTTAAATATAAATTGCATAATAATAAATTCAGTTGATGATGATTTTTGGAAATATAAATGTCTTATAAAACTTGACAATTTTTTCTTTCATACATTCCCATATTTGTCCATTGAAGAACACTCTTTCAGAAAAAATTCCTGAGTGTGTGTACAAAATAAAATCACAATAGGTACGTTTTGTAACAGCCATTTGACACATCATTTGACAATAATATGGTGAGTTACTGTTTTTCCTTAAAACAGGAAATCCATTTCTTAGTTCAAAATTTTTTAAATCACATGCTGCTGCCTCCTTTGGATTTTTATCTTTATACTTGTATGGACATTTAATTTCGAGGCACCCTGGTAAACAACAATCACACTCTAGTAAACCATCTGGTGAGGCACCAATGAAAGGAAGCTCATCATCGATTATCAGGCCTGCACTGGAATATCTTAGATTAGTGTGAATTTTCCCATTTAACTCCAAATACATATCTCTAGCTTTTGCTTCATATTTTCTACCATGTACAAGTGCAGGAATACAATTAGATTCTGAAGTAGCATAATTTTTACAAAGAATTTGTGTAACAAGGCTACCATTTTCATTCCGACCACTGAAATGCAGGCAGTTAAACACAGATGATGCTGTAATGCGACCTGCTCTTTGATGATGCCATACATCTGATGAGTTTTGAGCAACTGTACATTTTGAAATTTTGACTGCAAGATTTCTGTCAAAATAAACTCTAAGACCATCAACAAATTCTTCAAAGGAAGCATTTGGATTCATCATATAAAAATTTTGAGCAAATTCAGTCACATTCTCACACACACTTTCTTCAAATTCATACTCAGAGTCAGAACTATCAGATAGGGTATATGCTGCACATGCAGCCAATTTTTCTGCTTTTAAAAGTTTGTATATATCTTTTTCAGTTCGATTGTTTAATTGTTCATTAGTAACAGGTGTGTATTCTTCATCACATGCCATGGGCTGAGGTTGGTTGTTTGGTTGCTGTCTTAGATCAAGGTCAGTAATTTTTACTGGTCTTGTTGACCTCACAGGATTTGTCCACTTAGCCTTTTTATCAGTGACACCAATCTCTGTTCGATCATTCAGTCCTAGGCAAAATTGTTGAAGTCCAAACAGCAAAGCAGCAATATGCTTACATGTACCATCACCACTACAAAAAAATTATGGTACTGCTATTTATATTATGAAGTCAAAATATGCCATCTTTATTCATGCTTTGATACCTTTGCTATCGTTAAAAAAAATACCATTTATACATGCAGAATTTTAATTTTGCAAATTGTTGAATGCTTTAAAAAATATATTATACTTATTTAAAAAATCATTACAGCTTTTCTTCTGAAAAACAGTTAGTTATTTCCGCAATCTGATAATTTTTTCTTTTAAAAACATTGGATAGAAAATTCTGATCTGTATAAATATAAAATGCCTATAGAGCAGCCAACATATAAGAAAAACACTGATATCATTTCACAACCTAGAATTATAATTTCAATCCAATGTTTTCTCAAACGTCCGCGACGAATTATTGTATAATAGATCTAGTACATACGCAACACATGTGCACTCTCCAGAGACAATTGTTCCATTCTCTTGTACCAACAGCCACATTTTGTAGGGCTCGACTGTCTGTCGTTCCTCTGGAGTGGATGAACCTCTGATATAGCAGAGATTAGAGTCGAGTTTGGACATGGCCACGTTACTAATGTGACCATTTGAATGCAAGCGGTAGCTGTTGTCAGATTTGTAATTTTTCAGTCTTTCATTTGTCCACAGGCAACTGGTTTTTAAATAATACTGAATATCATACGCCTCAATGGACGGTATTTTATCTAAACAATCATCCCATTTAATATTTGGGGAATTGGGATGTGGATATGTTACGCCATGGACAGTCCTACGTTTCAGTCGATCTGCAGATTCTTGTGCTAAATCGCATTTTGGCTGCAAATTTTGTCTACACGCTTCGCGAGCTAAGTCTAATAACTCATGTTTTCTGTAGCCCGATACCCTTATACCACGATCTGTCAAAAATTTCTTTAAATCGGGCAAAGAATTTTGCACAAGAAATGATTCGTTCCCTGCCATTAGATTAGCTACCGATTTGTTTACAAAAGTTGCCCAAGTTACGCGTCATTTTTGTGACTTCTTTTTTAAAAGAGTTCCACAATTTTGGAGTTCCGATATTCGGTTTTTCAAAATAAAAAGAGCAGTTAACATTTATTTATAGTGTACTAGGGAAATTCAATCAGAAAAACACATGTAACTAGGAGTACTATTTTTTTTCCAGCTGTGATGATTTTGGCGGCCATTCTGATTCTTAACGACTCACTGGTTTCCGGAATGTCCCTGGGAGCCACGGCTACCTTCGGATACGTTGCCACGGTGTTTGCCTTCGTGTCCACAGTAACGTATTCAATTGCAGCAGCTCTCATCATTAAAATGGCCATCGACGCCTCTAAAACTAAGGTGACGCAAGTCACTCCACAGGACGACGAAAAGAAATCTCAGTCAGACCTGAAGTGAGACGCTTGGTGATGGAAGCCGTCTGTGATATTCCTGTACTTATTATTTATTTACATATTTTGTGATATTTGAAATACGAACCTTTGCTCAAATGACGATTCTATTAAGAAAAAAATATGGTGTCAAAAACGGTACTTTGACTATGGATTAATATTGACAAAAATGTAACAGTAAGTTCTCAAGTTTGATCAATCTTTGATTTTTGTTGTTTACATTTATTTATTAAACATTTATATTGCATGTATTCATATTTTCTTTTGAGATTATTTATGTGTCTTTTCTGTCATGAACATAAAGAAGTATGCAACATTTATAAGTCAAATAAAGGGATTATGACAGTATGTTTTTTCAAGGAGTTACATGTATATTAATATACGAGTATATACAGTGTATGGATAAGTTTTGTAATGAATTTTAGCTTTGGTCAGTATTAAAGAATAATTTTACTTTATTGTCCACATACATGTACTACATTGCAAAACCTCAATAACTCTCTCTTCAAATTCAATGGTTTCTTGTCAACGTTCTAAACAAACCTGCAATGCATTGTACTTTATTATAAACAGTAATGAATACAAAATATATAATACATTGTACATAAGTATGCATTTTGTGGAGAGTAAATAAGCGCTTTTCTATTATCTTATGTTTTTCTTTTCGAAAAGTGTACACTTAGTGGTTCTCTTTTATCAATACTTCTAGCGAAAATACATGATTTTGTTTTCGATTCAAAAATGAAGTCTTTTGGATTTTAGATATTTAGATTTCATATATATTTGACAAGTTATGCCTTTGTTTTGTGAATGAACAAGAATGTTTGAGGAAGCACATGTGTTACCCGCTTCATAGCAACCCTGAAGACTGAGATTAATATAAAGATGATTATTCATTAATTTGCTATTGATTAGAATTATACGTATTTCAGGTATTTGCCTGCAAAGAACTCCTCGGATTGAAATTTCGATATATATAAAATCTGAAAAAGTAAAAAAATTGATTCCCCATACCTTAAAGCTAAAGGGAATAATTTTGGGGGTTTGTTTTCTATTGAAGCGTGTTTTAAAATTCAGCTTTCCTAAAAAAGAAATTTCAGTCTGTTTTTATTGCAATGGTTGACTAGCATACAGTTTCAGTTTTGAAGTACTGTGTTATGAGCTCATAGCCCTGTAATTTAAATGCAATTTATCAAAACCTGCCTCTCAAAATTCAAAAGGCAAAAATTTACTGTCCGAAAGGTGTCAAAGGTTAAGACAAAATGAACTGTCAAGCTGGAATTTTTCAAAATATTTAGTGGCAAACAATGGGCATACTAAATAGCATCTATAGATTTATCTTTGAAATGTCAAAAATGTGTTGTATATGTATATTAATTCCTTTGAAAAGTAGAGCAAAAGTTCAAGGTTCACGAGGTCGGTACATATATGTAACAACAGCATTTTACGTACGCTAAATTGTTAAGCAATGCATGTACAAACTATACCTCTCAAAGGGTATAACAGGCACAAAGATGGACAGACAGATAGATGCCAGTAGAATTGTCCCTTAGTGATGCTCTGCTTTGCAAATGACAAAAGAAATCTTACTCCTTTTTGGGTGAATGGTTGTGAAATCATATAAAATCTTGCAGATGTCAGGCTAGTAGAGAGTGGCGCTCTGCAAATTACAGAAAAACAATTTATTCCCTTTTTGTGGTAATGGTTGTGATAAGACATGAAATCCTCAGACAAAATCTTTTGAAACAATTCGATTATTACTAATTCAGATTGAATGATATATACACAACAATTCACCTTAACCGAATATATTCTGATTTTCCCCTATTCCTCGTTGATCAGAGGCAATGTTAGTGATCACTATTTCTATTGTAATTTTTTTTTCTTCTACACCATTCAAACCCAAGTTACATTATTGAGATAGCACAAAGGACAAAAGGCAAATGCATGTAATTATTCACACTCGAATAAAGTTAGTTTTTATGATACAGCTGATTGTGTGCTTGTAACCCATTTATAATTTCTTGATAAGACGAACTTGGGGAACTTTGAAATTAATTGTTCAAAAAAATTATAAATTATGAATTGATTATATACTTTAAGTTGATGGTATTATTCATAAAAGATGTAAACAAACAAGCATTTTTTTTAATTACACAAGTACACACTTTTATACAGATAATACAAGAAATGTTATGGCAAGAGCAAAGGTCAACAGAACTGTAACACTGATCCGATATTAGCCTATTATCACCTTTATTCCTTTGTCTGCGGTACAACAGTACTCTATGGACAGTCCGAGGAATGACCAGTGTATTGGATGTCACCATAGATTCTTTTATTGAAAATATAATACTATATAAAAACAATTGTTCCAACTTTATAACACCAGTTTCGATGATATAGACTATACTTTAATCATCTTCGTATTCTTATTCTTGTTTTCCGGTAGATATTTGGTTTCATTTAAATTCTAGTGTTTTAACTAATAAACCAAAAGTATTCTCAAAAATATGGATAAAATACAAATTATTATCATTGCCTTGATTGCATCCGGTGTTGTTTGCATGGCTGTTTCCTTTGGGGTCGGGGTAGCGAGCTTGCTTGATGAATATTGGATCGACTACGCCTTTACCACAACTACTTCCGCTACGGTTAGTGGTATGCCAGCGACTGTTGTTGCGGTGGCCAAAGCTAACATTGGATTATTCACCACGTGCTATAATATTGACACCACCACCACCGTTACTTCAATTTTTGGATCCACCACCACCAATCTGAATACAAACGCCTGTGTGGATTCTGCTACCACGGGTTACATTAATGGAGGTTTGAATTAATTCTTAATATTTTTCACCCGTTCAAGAAAGAACACTTTCAATCCCCTCCCCAACTTTATCGCCATTTTCTTAAAGTTCATATATCGATAAATATTGGTATTTTAATACAAAAATCAATTTAAGTGTGTCGGAAACAATACTCGAAGGAAAATATCTATTAAATTTTATCTGGTTATTTGTGAAAAAGAAATGGGGGATGAGATTTTCAATAATTCTGAAAATTAATAATGAAAAAAAAAGAAAAGAAATATTCAAATCAATAAAACTGAAATAAAAAAACTAGCTATTAACGAACAAACCAGGGAAACTGAAAACTCAGATTAGAAGACAAACAAATGGAATGAATAAAAAACATTTGCTGTTTGAAATGCATAAAACAAATAAATGAAAAAAATATGTATTTGCTTATTGTCTGTCATATATATTTTAATTTATACTTGAATTTAACTGACTATAGACGATAAAGGCAAACTTAAAAGTAAATTGTATGATAAACGAGATAAATTCACCTTTTCACTCGTCAACTTTCATCCTGATGCGTCCGCTATCAAATGCATACGGCGTTTACATTTCCGTAACTTATTACATACTCAAGAACAGGTTCCGAGTGAGATAAATTCTTAAAATCGATACAGACTACTGATTGATGAGTTGATGTTACAGGGAATTCAAGAACATATTTTAAAGTAAACATTTCGTAAATTCTGTGTATGATCGTTAGTTCGACTTAATTATCAAATATAACATATCATGGGATCGTATTTTGACGGACATGTTTGAGACCAATTGTTAGGCCTTTGTTTATGTACTAAAGGACAGGATAGGCTACGACCACTTCTTTGCCCTTGGTTTGGGTTGGGGTTTTTTAAGAATTACGCAACAGTAATTTATCGATAAAAACCTGTCGTCACCCCTGCAAAAATGGGTATTAGTTCAAAGTAATGGGATACACAGAGGGCACAGGAATGTCATGTTGTAAATTTTGAATTTAGTGGCAGTAAATACAAAATGCAAATGTTCATCGATTTTATAACACATTTTGTTACAGTAAAAAACATAGAGCACAAACTTGCCTACCTACCAAATTCATCTATGCATTTCATACACTAGTATTAGATGCATCGTTTGTATTAAAATCTCAGATAGGCAAGCGTGTGTTCTATGTTTATTGACGTGAAAAGTATCTAAAATTTGATGAAATACCATTAGAATTGAGGAAATTCGGGAAAATGCCATTAGATCTGTATCTTCTTGTGGTCTCCGTGTAAAGCTTTGGTTTTAAAACAAACATAAATTAAAGTTGCTCTACAAACTATCACAATAATAATTGTGTTCTGATTTTTACATCAAATAAGGGGTCAGATTCGGTCTTTACCATATCTTGTCCTTTGACTATGGAATGTTCTATCTATGTGATCAAAACATAGGGCACAAGGCGGGTGTGACAGGTCTACAGGGGATGCTGCTAACTCCTCCTAACTATCTAGAATCTCATCTCTGGTATTTTCGGGGGCCCGTATTTATGACCTTTTCAAATATTCGTATTGTTTAAATATATTTTGAGATTGCACACGGTTCATAATCTTCATTTTTTTTCTCTCCATTTTTCACAAATAAGATCAAAAGTTGATAATTTTTTTTTGTAGGTTAGACATGTAAATTTGAGTTTACATTAAATAAAGTAAACTAGTTTATAAAATTTAGAAGTATGTTAAGCTCTTTTGTGGATTAGAGATGCTGTACTTTATTGAAAGATTACCCTTTCAAACGTTAAAGATCTTCATTAAATGTATTTGTTAAGGAAACAAGGCACATAATAGTAAAAGAAAACATTTAAACAAGCTTTAACTACCTAAATAAGGAAAAATAAATCGGTTATATTATTAATATATCCCATAATGATACAAATGGATCCACCTTCCTAATCTGAAAGCTCATTTCAAAATTGTACTTTAAATTCTTTTTCTTTCAACGAAAAACATACCAAAACAGCTTACTACAGAATTATTTTAGGAAAGGCAGGCGCGTAGCTTATTGAAACTTTATATTGATAGTGTATTTATATATTATTGTTTCTATTCAAATTTTGTTCAGGAGAAAATCCAGTCTTTTATAAAAAATTCCAAAATTCTTGCAGAAAATATTGTTGAACCAAAATTTTCAACTGGTTAATCCGCATGATTATCAGGACAAAAGTATTTGATGAAGGAAAGCTATCTAAGTGACATTGATCTAAAGAAAAAGTTACAAGGGTCTTGGACGACTATACAAGAATTTCCGTTAAAGAATAAATATCCAAAAAAAGAAAAAAAGAAAAAGTAAACTTCAAATTACTGACAAAGTAAATAAGAATATAGATCATTTATGAATATCTTCTTTTAGAGGTGGAATATAAGTACTCTCACATTGTTTAAGCTATCAGAATATAAAGGTTATCAAAAGAACACCCCCGTTTATATTTTGAAATACTTTAACTCCAATGATAACTTATTAAATTACTTCTCTGTGCTATCTTGTCACACTGAAACTTTTTTTCCAGAAATATATTCTTAAATTAATTTGATCAAATTATCCTTCTCTTCCTGAAGTATCCATGGAAGTATAACTTTTCTTGAGAAAAGAGGTGTGTGTTTCTTTTAAAGGAAAATGACTGAAAAATTTAAAATCCACGTATATATGAAAAATTTTCGTACACTTCATTTCAATGCTGGCTACGCGCCTGAAAGGTTTTATTGAAACTTTATATTGATAGTGTATTCATATATTATTTACTGGAGACAAATGACAATTTCTTTTGCAACAAGTCTGCAGGAATGTCATGAAGCAAATACATGTAAGAAATATGGAGATAATGAACAGTATTCAACACTGAAAAAATAACTGAAAGTCAAAATTAAATTTACTTCCATACATCACTACCCCAAAAGTTTTTACTAGTTTGTCAATAATGTTAGTAAATCTAAGAATTTATAAGTAACTTTCACTAGGTATCTAAGTATCTTTACAACATCACTCAACTTTTCACTACCTTTGAGTATACACAGAGTGATTAACTCACGACAAACGCTATAGGCACACTAGTTAAATCAACTAGGTAATTCTCTCAGTGAAGCTCAAAAGTCCATTAAGCATTTAATACAAATCAGGAGCAGAGCAATTACAGACTTCTTAAACAGAGGATGGATTAGGTGCCATAAAGGAGTGAGCATCCCCTGCCGACCGATCACAATCGCTGTGTGCTCCTTGTCATGATCTAGAAATAACGGAAAAATCCGTCGACAATTCAGTGTGTAAATAATGGTCTAACAATACGTATATATGAAAAACGTCAGTCAGCATTGACTTATAATGATAGATTGTATTTGCTGACAAGGTCATTGTATCGAACTTAATATATGATGGCTTTAACCAAGACTCTTAAAATTATTGTTTCATCAACTTGTTTGTCAATAACTGACCTCGTTTTAGAAACTGTCCATATGTAGAACATGCTCTTGCGTATCGATTTAGCTGACCCTCGTTTCTCTCTCTGCATAAGTAAAAGTTGACATGAAAAATTAGTCATCACAATCATAAAAAAAACCAATAAGCTATTTGAATGGAACATAAATTTATATTTCTATATATTCGCCCCTCAATTGCATGTTAACGTAAAAAAAACAAATATTTGAATCATATTGAGTATGCGAATATTCGTTGACATCCCTAGTAATAATCCTAAAAAGTATGCTGTTACATTGTGCGTTATTACATTCTGCTTTGATTTCAACACAACATGTAATAACGTAAAATGCAATAATCCCGGTTTATTACTTTTTGCGTTGTCCCTGTTTTAAAATATACTAAAAACTTAGGAAAAAATCTTACAAAAGTTGTTGGTATCTTGTACAATAATATTGTGAATTGTTAGGAAGCTCTGTAAAGTAGCAATGTTTAAATCACAAATTATAGAGAAAATTTAACATCATAATTAAGGTGACTGAACCTTTCTGTAAATGTCTGATTTCAGATACCGTTAAGATGATCCAGTCTGTCGGTCAGGTGGCCGGGGTCTTCCTTGGTCTCGCCTTCATTAGCGGAATACTGATCATTGTTCTCCACCTGCTGAAGAAGCTCGCCAAGCCTGTCTGCTTCGTGTCCCTTACACCAGGAGTGATTGCTTCCATTTCAAGTGAGTACAGTATATATGCGTGAGAATTCAAATTCCATTTATAAAGCAAATCGCGACAGTGATAATATACATGTATGAAACATTTCTTGACTGGGTGTGAGCGTAACTGTTTGCCTGAAGCTCTCACATAAAAATTACATAGCTCTCTCTCCTTGATGTACAATAAATTACGATTTCTTAAGGCTGAACACAACTCGTAAATAGGCATATGCCATATTTGATTATATACTATCTACGATATCAGCACTACTATATACAGTCATGTAATTTTCACATTCGTTAAACATGATTGCTCTACTGTCACGGGTAAAAGGCTTGCAAAGTTGTGACACGTGTTTGTGTTGGTTATCTTGAATTGCCTTTGTTTATTTATTTTATTGCAGCTATGTGCATTTGCGTTTGTTTGTATAGTGCACTGACCTGTGCAACTGTTGTAAGTTTCTTTGAATCAATACATTACTCTCTTCTCATGCACACAGTAATTTTTTGCTGCTATCGAGTGCTGTGTAGCAGGCGTCCCTCTACACTGGTAACAGTGACTTCGTGAGTGGCTTGTATAAAGGCCCTCAGATATAGCGAGCGAATAATCGAATATGGCGGACAAATTCCTTTTACAATTCGTGTACAGTTTTAAACTACATTTTTGTGATATTCCATATGTATTCCAATAAGTATATTCATAACCGTTTAAACAAGGCTGTCATTACGGTTATTGACAAACCATTTACAAATGTAACATTTTAAAATATTAACTAGTATTACATTTTTAAATTTCAGCCCTCATGTTACTAGTTGCTCTGGTCATGCTAAATGGTGAACTTGTATCTGGAATGGAACTAGGTAAAACTGCTACTATGGGAATCGTAGCCTTAGTGTTTGCTTTTTTGGCTACCGTGACATACTCTGTGGCAGCTGCCTTCATAATTAAGGGGGCCATGAGCCCTAAAACGGCCAAGGTGAATGACGAGTCAACGGAGAATTCAACAGAAATGAAAGAAACCGAGAAAGAGAAGCCTTCTACCGAGGCCAATACAGCATCTCCTTAACTCCCACGGTCCGTAACACCATGTCTCTGGTAACACGGAGAACTTGGTTCCAGAACGTGTATTCTATGTTCATCAATGCAGACATTGGTCAATTTGACTCTAGGATTAACCTTACCAAATGAATGTGTTTCACCTGTATATTCTTCACTTATTTATTTTTCACAACATTAATAAAAACAAGTTACATGTATTTTCAATTGAATTCTGTAGACACAAGCTTTCCTTATAACCTAATGGTGTGTCTTGACTGTAAAAACAAGTTATCTGTACATGAAAAAGGGGTCCTAGTGTGAAATGCTCATCAAAACGAAGTAGCATATGACCAGTATGGCACGCAAAATTCACAAAAATGAGCTAAACATAATTTCAAAGTTGATAAACTAAGTTCATCGACTGATGTTAATATTTCCAATGTCTTTGTCCGGGATAAAATTACAAATTGTAAATGTATTTTATTTCCCCATCAATGTATTGGCGCGGTTCCAAAAAAACCACGTGCATGCAGGGCGGAACAAACAGCTAGACAGAAGCAGGGCTTGGAGCACGTGGATTGGCGGAATCAAAGCATGTAAATATAAGGAATAACTGTCAGATTTTTCAGTTTCATGACGATGATCAATCGATTGGCTTGCGTGATAATTTTATGCATAAAGGCCTTCGGCGTTTATGCAAATTATCACGCAACCCAATCGATTGATCACATCATGAAATCGAAAAATAAGACAGTTATTCATTAATAAACTATAGTTTACAACCGTGAACTATAGTTAACAATTCGTTAATTATAGTTTTCATCTGTAAAACTATATTTAACGGTTGTTAACTATAGTTTATGAATGCTAATCTAAGTTTATCTGTCTGTAATAAAACGTTAACAATAGATTTTGTTGGTCAACATAGATTCACGTCTGTAAACTATAATTTAATATCGTGAACTATAGTTAAGAGTCATTAATCATAGTTTCACAAATCGTGAAACTGTATTTATCAGATAATCTATGTTTTGCAATCGCAAATATGGCACGCCAAATTCACAAAAATGAGCAAAACATAGGGCGAATTTGTTGCACATAAACTGGTTCGGATTTTGGTTTAAGGTTTAAAACTAGTTTTTCAAACTGGTTTCAATTTCAATCTGGTTTACCTCGGTAAAACAAAATGAACAGTTTATACAAGATGGCGTCAAAAAGATGCAGAACAACATACATGTATTAACCAAATTACACATGCAAAAAAAATTGTTAAAATCTTTTTCTTAATAAAAGAATCCAAGAAATTACAATGTATTTATATTCTTTGATTATCTTACTTATAGTTAAAGTGCAGTATTTATATTTTTAATGTTTCAAAGATTAATCAAATGAACAATTTCCATATTTTTTACACGTGGAAAGATAAACACTCTAGTATTTATAATTACTATATAGATTTTCAATATTTAAGCTGTCTTTACAGTATGTTCTACAATTTACCATACATGTTGAAGTTTGTCCAAATGATTAAAAACTTATTTTTGAAAAGGAATATTTACCATATTCTGTTCATCATTTTTGAACAATCACCATTATTTTCAGTATGCAGCATTTATCTATTCTCTGAAGCCTTATATGTAAAACATCAATTATCAGAGTGTGGCATTTAAGTCAAAAGAGTTGTTATTCCTCGAAAAAACAATTATTTATAACTTTTTTCTTTATTAGAATAGTCAACATTTTTTTATCACCGCCATACTGAAATACTTCCCGCTCTTTCGTAAACCGAATAAACCACCATCGGAGGTGGTTTGATTGGTTTAACGAACTGGTTTCAGTTACAGCCAAAACAAATGGAAATCCAGTTCTGGGTTTAAACTAGTTTAAAACCAGTTTGTGGAACAAACGAACAGTTTACAAAACTGGTTCAAAACTAAACCCAGTTTTCGAGAAACAAATTCGCCCTATGTTTAGCTCATTTTTGTGAATTTGGCGTGCCATAGACCAGACAATTGGTATTTATCTGAACTAAGGTCATTCGGACAAGTCTCAATAGTCTACATACATGGTCATACTGAAAAGCTTTTGTCACAAAAAAAGAAAATTGTATGGTTGGACAAGGAATTAAACCTGGGACCCCTTCTCTAACACGCAACACAGGCTGATATCCAAGGTCCTAACATTACATTCCTCACTCCTTAAATTTTTCCCCTGAAAGACTCAACCCATGTTCATAAGTCTTTGGCAGGATTTTCATCTCCAAGTCCATGGTGATCAATTGCACGAAATTATGTCATTAAAGACCATAAAATGAACCACAAGACTCCCTGCAACATGAGTGTGGTGCTCTAACAACTGAGTTTTTCAGGCTGATATCCACGGCCCAAATCTTTACATTTTATGACAAAGGAATAGTCTTCTTATGACATATTTTGTCACCAAGTTACTCCCCTTGGATGCTTTGTAATAGGTCAGAGTAGTGGAATTTCCTCTTTCAGCAACCAAATGTACAGAAATATATGGGGAAAATCTTCACAATATTGAAACTACAAGTTTATCTTTTAAAAAAGATAGGTGAGCTAGCGCCGTAGCAATTTTTAATCACAATAAGGAAGGTCCGTGTTCAAGTGAATTATTTTGCTGATTTTTTTAATGTTTATCGAGGCTGAGGTGTGATAAAGTTATAATTTTTTGTGAAGTGTATTTTATAAACACATAGGTAAAGAAACCATAGGGGGGGTTTTTGTGTTGACCCATTGGAGTTTCCAGATAGTTCCGAATGTGAAAATGTGAAGTAGCTTGGCACTTTGGGTCATCTTTGTCAAGAACTGTTACTTGCAGGTTAAAGCAGCCATACACAATTTTTTTAAAAATAGATAATGTATTTCTTCGTAATTTTTAGTGTAAATCCTTGTTTATGGATATTTTTGCTTGGCCTACATTGCCATGATTGCCAGCATATAGAATATATTTTTACTGTGGTGAGGTCTTGAAAATAGAGTCTATCTTTTGCTTAGACGTAAAAAAAAAAACTCTCTTGTCTTTGTTAACAACAATCATATAATGACTCGGGCTTTTCCGTCAGGAAAAAGGGAAAAATTGAAGTATTTCAATTATGTAGTTATCTTTAAAGTGTAAGTTATTTAATGATACAACGAAATTTTATCGTACGGTCTATCTATAGTAGTTTTCACAGTTTTCCCCAGAATGCACGACCGTGAAGCCGAGCATGCGTATTCCAGGAATTTGGACTAACGTAGTTGCTAGCGCTCGAGAGCGCTAGCAATAAATTTTACAAGAGGGTCATAGGCCTTATAGGTCACCTGAGCATCATGCAACAACTTTACAACGATTGACTTTGGTTCATGTTTTAAGGTAGTCCGATCCTCAGGTTTATAAAATTAGCAGTTAAGTAATCAAAAATACTCATAAAAGTAATTCTGAATCCACAAAGTTATGTAAATTTATCCACAGTATTTCTTTAAATTTCAAGATTAAAGTTTATCATATTATATAGGGAAAATCGCCAAATCTCCAATATTTTTGCAGAAAAAGCTAACTGGAATATCAGCCATGGATTTTCTAATTGAAAATTGATCAACAAATATATTTTAGGTTAAAAAACGGTAGGTATCCAGGCATTCAGAGAAATTGTCATGATTTTATACTTATTTTGGTATTTGTGTCTTCTATTTCCGTCATGTATTCTATAATACATAGTGTAAAAGGCTTTTGCTATCATTGCAAGACACCACAAATCACTTCTTATTTCATATCAAGCTGATAAGCATTGGTATCTAAGGCTGGATTCAAGAAAATTGTATTTCTCTTAAAATTGATTTTTTTTTCCTTTTATAGGGTACAAATCTCAACTTTTATAAGACCTTTTCTAAGACTTCCAAAAACCTTGAATCTTCTAAAGATGAATAAAATGAAAATTGTTGCATGAAAAAAATTCATTTTCAAGCTTCATTTTGATTCATTTTAAATAAAATATTAATTTTTGGAGTTATCCTTCCTGGCTGAGGATTGGATATCCTTAAACTAGATGCCATGGCATTCAAAACTTTGAAAGAGGCACCATTGCTAATCATAACTATACACTTAGCATGTTTAGTTTGGTTACTTAATACCCATAGACAGATTAGGGGAACAAAAAAATGCATTTCGACTAATCAGTAATATTCAGCAATAATCAGTATAGTGCCACTACTATACATGAACCCCTGACCCTTGGTCCACACACTTCACAATTTTGGAAAAGGCACCCTTGCTTATCAAAAATATTTGATTAATACAAAGGAGAAGATTTCAATCAATTAATTCATTTTCAGTATATAAGTAGAGCCCCCCCCCCTATGGTACCCCTGACCCAGGGGCGTTGAAATTCACAATTCAGGAAGAATGGCCCTTGCTCATCATAGCTATATAGGTAGTTCATCTGCTTAATACCCAGGAGCAGAGAAGAAGATTTTCAAACAATTTCTGCATTTTCTCTATATAACCAATAGAGCCCCGCCATAACACCAGAACCCGACCCTGGGGCCATAAAATTCACAAAGGCATTCTTCCTCATCATGACTATGTACTTAGTGAGTTTATTTAATACCCAGGAACAGAGAAGATTTTTAAAGAAATAATGTATTTTCACTATATAATCAATAGAGCCCCACCCTAAGACCAGAACCCCTGACCCTGGGGTCATAAAAATTCACAATTTTGGAAGAGGCATTCTTGCTCATCATAACTATATACTCAGTTTGTTTAATCCACAGGAGCAGAAAAGATTTACAAAGAATTGATGTACTTTCACTATATAATCAATAGAGCCCCACCCTAACACCAGAATCCCTGACCCTGGAGCCATAAAATTCACAATTTTGGAAGAAGCATTCTTGCTCATCATAACTATATACTTAGTTTATTCGTTGAATACCCAGCAGCAGAGAAGAAGATTTTCAAACAAATTCTGCATTTTCTCTGTATAATCAATAGAACCCCGTCCTAGCACTAGAACCCCGACCCTGGGGCCATAAAATTCACAATTTTGCAAAAGGCATTCTTCCTCATCATAACTATGTCCTTAGTTAGTTTATTTAATATCCAGGAGCAGAGAAGAAGATTTTTAAAGAAATAATGCATTTTCACTATATAATCAAT